CATGGCAATATAGCTGAATAAAGAATATAAGTTTTTGAAAGGGAAATGGTATATTTGCATAGTTTTCATAACCCTATGGACCTCTACAGTGCGCACTTTAAAAACTATAGAAACTTTGCATGATTGTACTCTGCCTTCAAAGAGTGATATATAACTCTGGTAATTCATGAATTTCCCAGTGCCTTTCACTTCCTCCATGTATTTAGAATTGAGCATAAACTAGTGTAAACATGACCACAGGAATAAGGTGGGGTATTACACAAGTTACATTGCAAAACTGTTACAAATGTCACTGATCTATGCCACAGTTTCCTCTTATTGAAACATATACAGAAAAGGTTGAATTACCTTTTTCCTCTTTTATACAAGTCTATGCTCCCTTCTATTAAAGTGTGACAAATCACCTGACACTTTAGATAATATTTTTGAATACATAAAAGAAGCACAAATCCATAATAATAATTATAAAAAAATACGTTACAGGATCCTATCAGAGACACATGGTGCACTTCCACTCACCTGCATTCCCAGGGTGTGCTTCAAGTTGTGATATGTAAGTTTGTGTCAGAACCGCCTTACATTACAAAGATGAATGTAGGAACTGCACTCGATCCCAGTAGCACCGGTGCTCTGGAAGAGGACCAGCAATCCCAATATGTCAAGGCAAAAAAAGGAATTTCCAGGCACTCTAGTGTTAAAGCCGCAGGCAGATTTTAATGGAACAGAAAAAGCAACCTTTCGACCTTCACAGAGGTCTTTTTCAAGCTAACACCACTAACCAAACATCAGAGCATATATAGCAAGAAATGCCAGAAAAAAATCAAATAGGGGGCGGAGCTTGACCGCCATGCAGACAAGTCGCAGCTATCCGGAGCTCCGATCAAGAGGCCGACAAATACACCCAATTTGCGGCAATCCAGCCAAGTTAAGCGGGTACCTCAACTACCCACCCCACGGAGCACCCAGTGGGAACGGGGCAAGGGCACTATGCACCATCCGGGCACACTAACCGAGGCAGGTCCGACTTGGGGCCTAGCAGTTGATGCGGGGCGGGAGATGCAGCCGGTCTCCCAGCCTCGAAGTCCTGCCGGACACCACTTATCCTTCCTCCCCCCCCCCATGGACCGGCGGGGGTCATCCCGGTCCACCACGGCATCCAGCAAGCCCAGCGTCTGCACACACAGGCCCTACCAGACAAGCAAGGACGGGAGGCTGCAGAGAAAATCCACTCACCTAAGATGGCGGCAGCCACATGCAAAGCAGATCCCATATACCGCGGAGAGAAGCTGATAACATACCTGGATCGGCTCTATACAGTACCTGAACGGTGGGAGCCAGAGAGCTCAGAAGCAACACCACTACAACAGCAGACCCCATGGGGGCAAAAGCAGGAGGGAAAACCCCCTTCTCACTCACGGAAGGGAGAACACCCCAAGTGTTGGGGCAAGCGCCACTCACGAAACTGGGTCCAAAAAGCCAACACACAGAACCAGCTGTCACACACCAACTCCAATTCAGACACAACCTAGGATGGAAAGATCCAGTCTCAAGAGGGGTGGAAAATGTGTACAGACCCTGGGACTAAACATATTATGAAGAGTGGTTTTTATCATATGTTGCAATCTCTCAACCACAGATCCCCCCCTATTTTCCCTGTAGTGCAGTAGATAAGAACAAAAATGTTGTGGTTTGCCATGAATCTTGTACCCTAGCTGTGTAGATGTCTCAAAAAGCCTGTTCCTTAATCTTGTCTCTAAGCTAACGCATTATAAGCAAAATCTTACCTGCTACTTGTTTTGACACTAGCATGTTCCACAATCTATCTTACACCTATACTTACCATGTCTGATACAGCATAACTCAATATTTCCCTCTCGATATAAAGCCTGGGCATGATAAAATTCAACTGGACTCTAAACTATGTTATAAAAGAAAATGTGCAGCATACTCAAATGCCATACATATGTTAAGCTTTGTCTAATTGCCTGCTTGTCATTGCTGTTGGGGCATTGACAGGATGTCTGTGAATCAAACGCATACAAAAATAAAGAATTTAAAAAAATAAATAAAAATCAAACAATAATTCACTTAAGTGAAAGTTATTAACACAAATTAATAACACAAAATAATACAAATCATGCACAGTATATCCATAGATATACTATATACAATAATCTATAACTTACCCCTATGTGCCAAAGGAGGGAGAGACCAAAGTTGAAAAAAAGTACAAATTAAAATAAAAAATAAAATATGAAAAAGCTACAGTGAATAAACGCTTGTCTGAGCGCTAAAGAGTAATTTCCGGTTAGGTGAACCACAGAAGGGCTTCTGGAACGCAAAGCGACCGCCCCTTCTACAGATCCATGTAGGTGCCAAATCAAATATCAGTTCGTGAAAACACACGAAAAGTAACAAGGGAACGCACAGACATGCACACAAACGGGCTATACACCAATTAAGGTAAGTGCCCGTTCGTGTGCTAAAACACACGAACGGCACCCCATGTAACTAGCGCTCATGCGCACGAACAAACTATAGATGAAAATGCCAAACGGACCTAAATGAAAGTGCGCACATGCGCACAAGCAAGTGATGTAATCTCGGGACAAAATAAATGTAAACCTAGGTAATAAGCCGAATAAGGCTTATTGTAAGCATGTATCAATCATGCAAAATAGTACTAGATCAAGGAAACTGCAGATGTAGATAGTAGAGTAAGCAAAAATAGAGACTAGAGAAAATGAAATAATATAAAAATAATATGAAAATAATATATAAAATATAATGAGAAAGATATAGAAAAATGCAAATAAAGCATAAAACATAAAAATAGAAAAAATTATAAAAAATCTAAAATGAAAAATAATAAAACTGCCTTACATGTCATGAGCACATTGCTCACTACGCCTGTGTCTATATATGCCAGCGTCAAAGAATATCTAAGAGCATCTGTGTTCAGTGAAAAACCATAGATAAAAAGCCTTTTTTTTTTTTTTTTACCTATTTGTGCTAGCCTCATTAAATTTGGCAACACCTGTTGATGACCACCAATGGTGTTCTTCAAGTTCCCTTCCGGTTCAACAGGCATAGTTCCCTAGGTCATGATGGAAACCCACTGTAACATGTAGTATAATAATAATACATCTTACAAGTTCTAAATATTAACAGTTCATAAACATAGGTACATGGAGATGCCTAATTTACAGAGATTAAGGTTACTATAGCAACAGTGAACCGAGTTTCGAGACTGTAATAGACTCGGATTTGGAATTCTGATCGCTTGACGCCCGGGTTAATAGCCCTGCTGCGGGCAAGGGACAGGAACACAGGGAGCGTGTACTGTAGTTTGAACCTCCATCGGGTGCAAAGCACAGTAATCACTCCTTCACAGTCCTGCACTCACTAATGAGCACTGAAATGTGAGAGAGTGATTACTGTGCTTTGTACCCAAAGGAGCTGCAAACCACAAGCTCCCACACAAGGATTCCCCGCTCGGGCTGTCCTCCTCCTGTCAGCTGGAGTGGGGGTTGGGGAGAACATCAGTCTTATCAGCAGCTTTTTTTAAAATTCTAGTCTACAAAAAACAAAATATTGATACCGCACTCCAAATTTGATGCTGAGAAAAAGTATTTAATTTATATACTATACAAGGTAATTAGCGCATCACTTAAATTAAAAAAGAGAAAGGATTGATAATATGTACAATGATATTTACATAAAGATTGCTGACTGCATTATGTACACTGATTATATACAAAATATTTAGTCAATATTTGTAAATCAAATGAAAAAAAAATATTAAGTTAAAGCATTGTAAATATTCATTCAAAAATGAATGTTTTCTTTTTTGTAGATTTTGCCTTGAGGTTATTAGGTGGGTAACCTCGATAACTGCACCCAGTTACAGCCTTAAGTGCCAACATACACTGGAATTGTTTTGGTTTATATTTTTTTATTTTTTTTTTGTTTATAATTCTTTATTTTTGTTGTGCGTAAGCTTATAACAATCGCTCTGAAGGTACCCCAAAGGCAATCCTCCGGCGGATTAAAACAGTCAAACATAGAGGTACATAATAAAACAAGCACATTTTGTAAAGTTATACACAATCTAGTTTTACGTTACGTAGGTATTGTTAGGATATGACAGAACTTAGTTAGAAAGTTGACGATCAAATTTAATAACTATCTAATGTTTCTTCAGGCTTAGACATTTCTATAGCGAGTTAGAAGTTAAACTGGGTTAAACATGTGTAGTTGTAGTTTCGCTATAATAAGTAATATAGCGTACTCTACTCTGTTCTTTATAAGCACTATGTTTGGTTACACATATGTACATAGTAGTATTTTAGGCATTCTCGCTAGCATTACATCCGGTGATCTCTCAGTAAAACAAGATCCCCTTTACTCTGAGCTATGTGTTATAAACACTGTGCTTTGTTACATATAAATCGCTTACTTAGCTCCGACAGGTGGGAGGCTTGCGTTGCTCTATCTAGTAGCTGCACATCTCAACAACAAAAAGCAGCAGGAGGCGAGAGTGTGCACGAAAAGGCAGCCGAGCGGCAACCTATGTGTGGTCGCTGATTAGATCTTTGGGGCATATGCTTTTTTACAGCTCTGAGCCTGCCTTTGGGTTGACGTTACACTAAGTAATAAGTAAAATAGCGCTTTATAAAATCGCAAACAAAATTATAAGGGTAATAACGCCATGAGGACCAGTGAGCAGAGAGATTATTAAATACAGGTCATTAACCACCTAAACAATTAAGTATTCGCATATAACATTACAGTCTCGTGGGTGGTCTGCTGCGGTGTGTTACTCAGGATTTACCCCTCGCGGATCAGTCTCCCGGACAGACTCAGCTCATGCTAGCAGGGAATATAACACAGTCCAAGAGTTCAGGGGCCCATTGCCTGTCATCTTGCCACGACATGTTCCGGTAGGCTGGGGCTCGGAGCTTGTGCGTCTCGCTGTTCAGCTTTTTAGGTTCCAACATTCAACGCCATTTTGAGGCTCGGCACTGATCTCCTTCCTCTCCGCCGCCATGATGGGAGTTGTGCAGCCGGGGATGTGTGTGTAGGTGGAGAGCGTTTGGGTAAGTAGTTTTCTTTTCGGTCGCTTTCCCCTGCGAGCAGTACCTCGTGGTTAGGAGTGTATTCCTGGTGGGTGCTCTCTCGGGGTTTGTGTCTCCGTTTGCCATTTCGCCAGCGGCCTCCAGCCGTGGGAGAGTTTCAGGTCGCTTGTGCGCTTCTCTGTGTCCCCGCCATTGTGCGTGGGTTAGGTGCTGGTCGGCCATCTTGGGGCACGCTGACTGGACCGCAGTGCTCGGCTAGGCCGGGGTGGAGATGTTTTGGCATGCAGTGTTTTGGCATGCAGTGGTGGTAGCCCATGGAGACCGGGATGACCCGGGGGGGGGGTGGCAGAGCGCCGGTCGGAGAACCTGGCGAGCGCCCGTCTCACCCAGGCTCAAGCTTGTAGGCCTCAGGCCTCTACCGGGTTACTGTGGTGCCGTAGGGAGTCTTTTCAGGTATCCCCGGAATCCCCATCGCCTGACCAATGCTGTCATCATATTTTCAGGTCGGTGTCTGCTTGTGGCCCGCAGTTGGCTCCGATATTTCGGCTCAGAAGCAGGAGCTCAGACTAAACACGTCTGATCCGTCCGGCGTCAGGCCCCGCCCCCTTGGTTTATATTTTACCTCTCATTCCTAGTGCTCATTTCCTCCTCCTAAGGAAAAAAAAAAGACATCATACTGTAATTTTAATCCCTGCACGAACACCCAGGGATGTTTAACCCATGCTGGACCACCAGGGAAATATAACCCATGCTGCACGAACAGGGAATTGTAATCCATTCCTGACCACCAGGAATCATAGCCCCCTTATAACAGACCCTTTTACACACATGCCCACACATACATTACAAACGGCCAATATCCTACACATTACACCAAGCCAACGCATACAGCACATACATTACATATGACCAACAAACCCCTCACACATCAAACATAGCCAGCACACACCACAAACACATTACATTCAGCACACTAATACTAAACACAGCTAGCAATACAGACAGCAGACACACCACGGCACCCTATGAGTAAGGACAGAGGGAGAGACACTCTAGGTAGGAGCCCCAGTATTTCTTATTATTTTGTGGGTCTGGACAAGTAGCTTGTCATGAGGGACAAGTGGTTTGAGTTACCACATAGTCCCATAAACAAGTAGATTTGTATTTATTTATTCTTGGACACATAACCTCTTTATCCCAAAATCCTTTTCAGCATTAACCATAAGTTCCCCTAACACTACACACCCCAAACCTACTTACATCTTAAATCCCTCCTATTTTGTTCCTCATCAGCAGAAACATATCTAACAAACACATTTTCTGAATTATTTACCAAGATCCAAAAGAACCTCAAATCTTGTCTTGTATTGCCAGGCATTTTGAGGAACATTCAGTGATATTTGCTAATTTAAAGAAGGTGGTTTAGTGGCCTGACCGTGGTGAGAGCTGGACGCGTCTGAGTAGAACTCCACTCTCCACACGCTACCAAAAGCAAACAAAAGCGACTTATACATAATAAATTGCCGAAAATGGAAAAGAGAAATCCCCGGAAACATGCAAAGAAGGGACCTGAACCTGGAAGCACAGTGCTGGACCTACTAACGGCTCAGAAACATGGGCCGACGGAAAGCCAAGATGGCGATACTGCATCTCCGCCATCCTCGCCACATGCCAGTGGAGAAACATCTTCTAGGGATCAAAAGCAGATCCTGGCCAAGCTGGCCGAAGTCTGCACTTACCTAGCCGGGGAAATAGCAAAATCGATGGCGGTCCAAAATCCAAAATCATTGCACTCGGTACGAGAACTGCAAGGCTAGAGGAGTGCCTGGAAACCACCACCAAAGTGCACAATGAGGTGAACACCCACATGAACCGCCTAACCGCCCACATGGTCGAGACGGACCTAGCCATGGAAGATATGGCCAACCGATCGAGGCGCAATAATATTCGCCTGCGAGGCCTACCAGAAAAGGATGATGAAGGCCCCCTTCAGGACCTATTACTTACCATACTGAAGCCCCTGGTACCGGACGTCCGGGACAACCAATGGCACATGGAGAGAGCTCACAGAGCCCTCCGTGCTAAGAGAGCCGATGCAAATGCTCCGAGATGTGATCATCAGGTTCCTTCACTATCAAACAAACGAGGCCCTGTTGAGAAAGGGTAGAGAGGGGCCTATCAAGCATGCGGACGCTCACCTTTCCCTGTACCATGACTTGGCACCCAGTACTCTCCAACGCTGCCGTGAGTGGAAGCCCATCATCGAAGGCATATGTTGGGCCAGCCTCCGATATGCCTGGGGCTTCCCCTTTAAATTACTGGTGTTCCAGGACGGCCGAGTGCACGTGCTATTGCCGGGCGGAGACCCGCAACGCCTTTTCCAGAGCCTGGGCCTACCGCCACCCTATCAACCTGCCCAGCATCGATGTGAACCCGGAGGAACTACACCGACTACCAAGCGAGTGGCAGGAGGTTGGAGCGAGAGGACACTAATCCCCTCAATGGGCATCGTATGGGGCCGACTGGGGATTGCTTTGGCTCATAGTTGGGGGCTTTCATTGCTGGCTGTTGCAGTGGGGGGGAGGGGATGGCGGCTGGACTGTTGGGAGGGGGGTCGGGCAAGAGAAAGGGGTCTACCTAAGATTTAACTGGTATCGCACCAGATGCACATGTTTGCGGGGCTTGGGGCTGGGGGAGCCAGGTACCTCAGATGAGGGAAGTAGCTTGAGCTGAGGACAAAGCCGTTATCACCATGTATGAAAGTGAGCCATAAAGCACAAAAAGATGAGGGGTACATTGTGGAGTGCATGGGCACATAGTGTTACAGGAATGGCAACACGAGGTGGGCAATGGGACTGTCATTGGTGAAAGCCGGCCACCAGAGGTATCGTCCACCCCTGGGACAGACACCGAGAGCATACTTTCCGGAAGGGCCCGATATTGAAAAGCCTTACGAGGTTCCCTGACATTTACAACGAGCTAAATGACGCCTAGATCATAACATACCTAGATACAGCACATCCGAGAGGTCAGGTGGGCGCTTGCAGTAAATAGTGGGAACGGTACTATGGAGGCCTGCTTGGCTGCTCTCCGCATATGGCGGTGGGTAGGGTCTTTCTGGCCCCTGACCGCAGACTCGGATTGCAGACAGGCAGGGGATATTAGGAGAACAGGGCTTTGCAATTCATGCGCAAAAGTATTGTCTTCCATGCTGTCAAAAAAATAAAAATAAAAACACTTAAAGGACCACTCTAGGCACCCAGCTTAATGAAGTGGTCTGGGTGCCAGGTCCTTCTAGTGTTAACCCATTTTTTCATAAACATAGCAGTTTCAAAGAAACTGCTATGTTTATGAATGGGTTAAGCCTTCCCCTATTTCCTCTAGTGGCTGTCTCATTGACAGCCACTAGAGGCGCTTGCGTGCTTCTCACTGTGATTTTCACAGTGAGAGCACGCTAGCGTCCATAGGAAAGCATTATGAATGCTTTCCTATGTGACCGGCTGAATGCGCGCGCAGCTCTTGCCGCGCGTGCGCATTCAGCTAACGGGGAGGAGAAGAGGAGGATCGGAGGAGGAGAGCTCCCCGCCCAGCACTGGAAAAAGGTAAGTTTTAACCCCTTTCCCCCTTCCAGAGCCGGGCGGGAGGGGGACCCTGAGGGTGGGGGCACCCTCAGGGCACTATAGTGCCAGGAAAACGAGTATGTTTTCCTGGCACTATAGTGGTCCTTTAATGGCATAAAGATGGAAATATTATGATTATGGGTGAGCAGGGGGATAAAAAAAAATCCTGCTATGATTGAATCTTGGGAGTGTATAACGATACATGTCGGACTTTGACTGCCTCTATAATAGCACCGCTTAGGTGACCTACTGACGGGGGATAACCTAACGCATGCTTACATTGCCAATGACAATCCCCGAGGTCTCCATTTATGGCGCTGCACATCTCCCCGCTTTGAGAAGGCCTTAATGCCCCTACCAAGAGGTGACTCTTGTTCCGCGAATTGAAGAGAATGAAATCAGACATTGCATTCATACAAGAGACCCACTTGCCTAAACATGTCAGCTTCAGGTTAAGGGACCATACATTTGCTACGACTTACGAAGCTAGAGCACACCGTAAACAAAATGGCCTGGCAGTCTTGATAAGAAATAGTAGCCCCCTACATATTACCTCCTCTGACATAGACCCGGACGGACGATACATTAGACTCACTGGCACCTTATTCTCCCATACAATTCACTTAGTCAATATAGATGCACCGAACCAGCCAGATTCCGGGTTCTGGGCCACCTTAAAGGACAAAATGAAGGCATTACCACACAGTATGATTCTAGCGGGAGGGGACTTCAACGAAGTCGACAGGAGCGCAGGAGTGCCGAAGTGACCATTACACTAGGAAACCTCTGTAGTGCGTCCCCGTGGACGTGGAAACGTAATACTTCCTTGCTACAAGATTCTGCGATTACGGAACAAATACGACCAGAGATGCTATAGTTCTTAACCATAAACGATACCCCAGAAATGGGGATGAATACTATATGCACGGCCCACAAGATAGTTATACGCGGTTCTCTAATTAAATTAGCAACTAGAAAGAAGAAATTGAAATATCAAACGCTGGACAGCCTCCTGACGCTGGAACAAAAACATCAAACGCACCCTGAGGGACAGACTTTTCGACGACTGGAGACAGTTAGACACTCCATACAAACGTTACTTCTAGTAATCCTACAATGGCACTAGACAGGGATGCCCACTGTCCCCCCTACTCTTTGTGATATCTTTAGAACTCCTCCTGCAGACAATACGAAGACCCCCAAATGTTCAGGGAGTTCGGGTGCGAGGTAGAGAGTTTCGGGTATCGGTATATGCTGATGATGTACTACTGACACTCACGAACCCGTTAGAATCTATGGCTGTTCTGCAGAGAATTCAACTAGAATACTGGGCGGTATCGGGTTACAAGGCGAACATAACTAAATCTAGCGCATTACCGGTGGGGGTAGCGACGGTGGACATGGCACATCCGGGGGATACTTACAAATACAACTAGAAAAAGATACTCTTAAATACCTAGGGATTCAATTAACGGCCGACCTGGAGAAATTGTATACCCTTAACTACACGCCCTTAATGAAAACACTGATTAGGGATATGGAAAAGCGGACAGATAAGCCCATATCATGGATAGGGAAGATTAATTCCGTTAAAATGAATGT